TAATACACTGTTGAACCTAGCTACTGCCTGCCTTCCACCTCGGTAACCCATGTGCAGCAACGTCTACCAGCAGACAGCTTGTGGATCATCCGTAAGCAAAATGTTGCTGATACGGGAGATCCAAAATAAAAAAACAAAGACTGCTAGACAAAGTTAGAAGTCCAGTATGACTCTTTTTACTCGAAACATTAACTCTGTTCTTTTCCATGCAGACTTGTTGAGTTTCCTGTGGATCAAGGAATGGAACACACAGGAAGTCACTAACAAGTTCCTTACGACAAACCCCCATTTGCACATGACTGGCTTTGAACTTCCACAGCAAGAGTGTACTGAGTCACACAGGGACAGAGGCTCTCAATTTTGAGCCCTCATCTGTGGAGGGTTAGCAAATTGAGTTCCTCCAACAAGTTCAGGAGCTGGGAAGGAGGATCCTATTCTTCACCATCATCTCCTAGTTTCTGATGGAGGACAAGATTTGTTTAGGCTCTGATACTCCCCATTGGCTTGATCCAACTTCACAGAGAAAGCATGGGCGTGTAGGCATCATCAGCATGGGACAGCACAGACATGAAACAATTCCAGCAGTAGGCCTGATATTTTTTCTTCAACATGAACTATGAATGTTGATTAAAAGCTTAAAATTTTGCAGGAAGAACACTAATAAAATTCAAGAACTGAATATATTTCACCGACTCTACAACAATAAACAACTCAACCCTTAAAATGCATTAAGCTTCTGTTGTATGTGCCCAGATAAAATGGTCCAAAGCATTTTAAAAAATCCCTGATTTTATTTACACTTTGCATAACTTCTAACTAACACAGACCTCTTGACAGAAAACAATGCATTCCTATCTGCACATCCAAACGACATGTGCACATGGATACAGTTTAAAACCAAGGGGTTTCCTGGTTTGGACAGAGATGATGAGGAGAATTATTTTCTTCACAGACTGTTATTGGTCGGTGGAATTATCCTCTCCTGACAGAAGCGAAGGCAGGGTCATCGAATAATTTTAAGGCTAAGTTAAATAGACTTGGTTGATAAAAGGAGACAAAAAACTGTATATAATGGGGTAGATCATCAGATCAGGCATGATCTTATGGTATAGCAGAGCATGCTTGGAGGATCAACTAGCTGCCTTCTGCTTCTATTTAATTTGTTTAGAATTTTCAGACAGCTCGTCTCCACTTTGTGCCTATGCAACTGACCCAGGTGAAGCTGAAAATCATATTCAATTATTTCAATGAGTATTAAGGAAACCAACAGGACCTCTAACTGTAATCATCTGTCAGTACTATAAATAGACAAATAACTGCAACATAGTTCTATAAACTTTAAAAGTGTACAAATCAGCAAATATTTTCCAGTAAACTCATTTGATTTAAGCATCAACTTGAAGGCGAAGGAGTTCTAATTTACTTTCAGTTGAAGAAAGTTGACATCTTTGACATGGTTATAATCTGGGCTACATAAGCTTCCTGACGATTGAAGTTGCATCAATCACACAAAGCCCAATGTTATGAACATCAGAGGCAGCATGAGAAACTCAGCGGCCACAGAACGTAAAATATCTTGCACTCAGTTAAGATGGTAGGTAACAAGTGAGGCACAACTTGCCAAAGAATGTCAGATGTCATTTGCGCTGCTTGTTTCATGGAGGTCAAGCATTAGCCTTGCAACATACTAAGAATAATCATACTTCTAAATTTTCTTTTGTGATGAGGCAGTGTCCTGTCCTGGAACAGAAACAGCTTATTTCCTTAGCTTTCGAGCAAGTCGAATAAGGCATAAACATTTTGTAAAAGGACAAGATAATGCACAGTATATAATCTACAGGCTTCCTGTTCTTACACACCAGTTAGTTCTCACCATTGGTTCAAAGGAATCATTTAAATCAGGACAAAACATTCAAAGTAATTTTTTGTGGTCATGATGAATTCACCATGACATGCAGTATTAAGCGTGGGTCTTCAACAACAGGAGCTACAAAACAAGCTGAATACTTTGTAACCACTGAGAATCCAGAGGAATTCAGCTCCAGTGCTCAAACAAAGTTTAAATTTAAAGACATCATTCTCTCGTTAGGGAAAATGCTTAAATCTATTATAAAAGATGTGACAACCGAACAGTTACAAAAGAATGACAAATCAGGTAGAGTCAGCATAGGTTTATGAATGGGGAATCATGTTTGACAAACTACTGGGAATACTTTGAGGATGTTACTTGTAGCACAGACAAAGGAGATCTAGTGGATGTGGTATATTGGCATTTTTCAGAAGGCTTTTAATAACGTTCCACACAAGTTCATAAATAAAACTAGAGCACACAGGAATAGAGGGAATACCCGAGTAAGGATTGAGAATTGGTTACAGAATCAGAGTCATGGAGCTGTACAACACAAAGCAGACTCTTTAGTCCACTCATCCATGTTGACCAGATATCCTAAATTAATCTAGTCCCATATTCCAGCATTTAGCCCATATCCCTCTAAACCCTTCCTATTCATGCACCCATCCAGATGCCTTTTAAATGCTGTAACTGTACCAGCCTCCATCACTTCCTCTGGCAGTTCATCCCATACACACATTATCCTCTGCATGAAAAAAAAGTTGCCTTTTAGGTCCTTTTTAAAAACTTTCCCCTCTCACCTTAAACCTATGCCCTCTAGTTTTGGATTCCCCCACCCCGGGGAAAAGACCTTGGCTATTCAGCTTATCCAGGCCCCTCATGACTTCATAAACCTCTACACCTTCAGCCTCCAATGCATCAGGGAAAATTGCCCCAGCCTATTCAGCCTCTCCCTATAGCTCAAACCCACCAACCCCAACAACATCCTTGTAAATCTTTTCTGAACCCTTTCAAGTTTCACAATATCCTTCCCATAGCAGGGAGACCAGAATTGAATGCAGTATTCTAAAAGTGGCCTAACCATTGTCCTGTACAGCAACAACATGATCTCCCAATTCCTATACTCAATATACTGACCAATAAAGGCAAACGTACCAAACACCTCCTTCACTGTCCTATCTACCTGTGACTCCACTTTCAAGGAACTATGAACCTGCACTCCAAGGTCTCTTTGCTCAGCAACACTCCCCAGGACCTTACCAAGAAAGCAGAGAGAAGGAATAAACAGATCATTCTCAGGATGGCAGACTGTGACTAGAGAAGTCCCACAAGGATCAAGTCTAGATCCACAATTGTTCAGAATTTCCAACGTGGAGGCCAATTGGAATATTTTCATAAAGATGCTAAACTGGGTGTGAACACAAGTTGTGAGGAGGTGTAAAGAACATTGAAAAGGACTTGGACAGGTCAAATGAATGGGCTAGAACACAACGTGAATAAGAGTGAAGATACCTATTTTGGTGGAAAGATAGAAAGCAGGACATTTATTAATGGTGACAGAGTGGAAGTGTAGGTGTCCAAAGGGATCTGTGTGTGCTTCTCCACGTGGCATTAAAAGCTTGCATGGAAGTGAAGTAATTAAGATGGCACCATTCTGTTGAAAGTCATTTCAAAGGCATTTGTGCGCAGGAGTAAATGTCTTGCTGAAGGGGAGACCTCACCTAGCATATTGTGTACAGTTTGGGTCTCCCTACTTAATGAAGGACACAGAAGTTCATCAGTGGTTCACTAGATTAACATCTGGGGTGGAGGTACAGTCTCTGGCTGGTGATCCGAGAACCAGGGGACAGAATCTCAGACTAGTAGAATGACATTTAAGACTGAGATTAGGAGGATTTTCTTCACCTAGAGGTTTATGGAAGCTCACTTATTGAGCAAGTTCAAGGTGGATGCCAATAGGTTTCTGGTGACTATCTCAATATACCTTAATGGGATTAACGTGGGAAGGTGCTATAGAGGAGATGATTAGCCATGACCCACAATGGAGGGGCAGGCTTGATGGGCTGAATGGCTTACTTGCATTCTTGCATATCTACTTGTTGCAAAGTAATTGTTTAGTTGCTGCTGTTAAAATTACAGCTGTTATTGAAGCTCGCCACTAACTACGTTTTCTATAATCTGCCCCAAACTCGACTGAGGTCAAGGCTTCAGTAATTTTCAATTTACAGGAACTATGAATTTACAAAGTTTTATATGGGCAAATTTGGTCTATTATGGGCTGAAAGCACATGGCAAAACTGGAGACAAGGAACTCCTGGCGAATTGAATGGTAGGACACCATTAATAAAAATTTTCTTGGACAGAATAGCAACAGGAATCGTGGCTAATATCAACTTCAGCAGGATATGGCTAGGGACACTTGGAGATTATCCCCAGTGACCACAACAGAGGCAGACAACAATCATAGAGGAGAAGGGAAATGCTGTGACTGGCAGAGCGAAGGCTAAGGGCTCCCTCCCTGGAGGGATTTGGGGGGTCAGCACATCTTCTCCCCCTAATCTATAGCAGTGCTAGAGAAAGCACAAGCCAATATCCAGCTTGAATCAGTTCCTGATCCTGGATGTACTCCAACTAGCAATCTTCCCTCCTTGAATGCGTACATGTAGGCAGAGTACTGACCAAACAAACCAATCTTGCAAAACTCACAATGTAATGACCAATGTTTGATGTGATTTTGTGATTGGACAGTAACTGGTGAACAATCCCAAGTATGCTAAGAATTACAGTAACAATTCATTTAAAATTAATGGTTTGGGTTTCCAGTTTGGCTCACTTGACTTAAGCTTGCTAGAAGTGGCTATGTTCATGGGCAGGAATCTACTCTCTGGATAAAGTAAACATAAAAGAGGTACAAGGCCTGCACCGAGTTTAAAAAAAAGGGAAAATAGTTTCCAGTTACATTCTCTATTGCAATGCCTCAACCAAAGTTGACTTGTCAATTGATTTGCACTCTTTTCTCATGCCTTATAAATTGTTGCTCCTGATGAACTTTTGAATCACGAGTGTACAATGAAAACCCTCAACAGCATGTCTCTTTTTCTCAGCAATAAATGTGTCTTGCAAAAAATCTGTATCATGTCACACTTACCAAGGTCTTGCTGTCCTGTTTGTTTATGGTGACTATTCTCCCCTCGGAGGAGCCATCCTTGCTTGCTTGCTTGATGCTAACGTTGATGATTTCGGGGAAATCACAATAAGGCTGCAGCTCCTGCCAACAGAGACATACTTTATGATTTTGGTACTTTGATTTCTAGCTTAGCAGCTACAATGAGCTTTTCTGCAGTTCCTCTATTCTTCTGTGGTATTAAAATGCCACAAAATGTAAAGCTGTTTCCTGTGTGCCTGGTCCTGGTAAACAAACAAATAGATTCTTTTGCATTTCTACACCTCTTAAAACTGTAACTTACAAATGATTGTTTCTTCTTAGTTTTGGTTCATATTTTGGACTTTACTATCGTATATTTTAGCTCTTTCAGAGATACACAGAGTTGATGCTAGTTCCTATCTGTATGACAGGTTTTACTCAGTGCTTTACAATAGCTATTCCATACTTAATCTCTAGATTCCAGTTGTTTCTACAGATTGCTTCCTTCACCCACCCTCACCCCAATTCTACATCCAGGTTTAATCAAACAAACTTAGTGAGTGTTAAAAGTGAACTGACTCACATAACTGAACAAAACCAACTGAACATGATACTCAATATGTCATAAAAGAGTCTAGATGAGTAACAGATGTATTTAAGGGATAAAGGATTACAAGATTTATGCTGATAGAGTCAAGATGCAGGGCTGTGGGTGGGGGGGTGGTGGGGTGGGGAGGTGGGGGTCGTAGGTAAGGCTTGTGTGGAATGAACACTAGTGTAGCATAGTTGGGCCAAATGGACCATTTCTGTGCTGTGAATTCTGGGCAGGAACACAGTTATATGGGGAAAGAGGGTGAACAACGGGGGATAAATGTTTCCCTTATCCCAGTGTCTGTCACTGCTCATGCTGTGCCACATGACAACAACGCAGCTGGAGCCAGCATGGGGTCAGAACTGGGGCACCATGTCTGATTGGTACATGGAGATTAACTGATATAAAAATATGCTTCCAATTATTGAAAATCTAGACCAGGCTGGTTGTGCCCGAAGTAAAAGAATAGGAAGGAGAGAGAGATGTTAAGTATTTTAAATTATTTCAGTGGTGCCTCTCTTCCCTCCCATGCCCTCGCACCCCCCACCCCGCCCCACAAAAACTCTTTCAAATTCTCTTAAGTTTTATGGCCCTTTGAAGTAATTCCCTCAGAGACTGCACAATTGAAAGGGATTTGCTTCCAGTATCATTACTGCCTCACCATATCATTAGTTGGGACTACCTTTAGTCAATAGTTGCCACGACGACGACATGGTCAACCCAGAGAATTTACCAGAGTATAAAGTTTCTGATGCTTCATGTTTTAGGACTTGAAATTGGCAGCATGCACACAGACTTACATGTCCAAACCTGGAAGCTCAAAGGCTGGACAAAAATTCAGCCTCGGGCCTTGTTTTCATTGTTTGGACAAGTGCAGACACCAACGATGTCACTGTAAGCACCTCATTCGGATCTTGGAGCAACCTTGTGATAATATCATGTAGCTGCATATCACTAAGCTTAAATAGTACAGTTGGGAGGACTAAGAACATGTGACATTACACTGCACACTGAAAGAACCAGACTGCAACAAATGAGTGGAAAACTTCAGTAAACACACTGTCATGAACACAAAAAGAAACCAGATTAATCCTTATCTGATGTGATTTCAACTCATTATCTATGATTACCATGTATTGCAGTACTAGAATTAATGTATGAAAAGAGCATTACTTTGAGTACAAGCCTGAAGGTGGTTCTTGACTTTGCCTTCTCCTTGCCCAGTCTATCCTGAACCCAATCTCAGCATGCTTATAAAGATCAACACTGAAGGTCATTGTTTTGCTACTTGGCCAGTCAGCAGCTAGCCAGCCAAAGGGAGGGAAGCAGACAGACAGGCATCTTCACTTCTGATCAATGTGACCTGCTCTCTCAATGAGCCCCAACTTCACAAACCACACACACCTTCCCCAAACCACTAACTTTCTCATCTGGGGTTCTGAGGGTTGGTGCCCCAGCTCATGGCAGTGCTGGGGGGAAGCCAAGTTCTGGAGCCGCTGACCTCTGGTTGAAAGGCAGACAGCACCTCTTCATCCAAGTTCATAATTCCCAGATTGCTCAAAGATCCGATGGGTTCTCTGATCAAAGTAGGTCATAGGTTTCTCACCAGGAAACTCTCTTGCTTTTGGAAAAAGTCTGGAAATTGAAAATTTCTGGCCAGTTTACAAATAGCTGAAGCCTAGGAATTGGGCCTTGAGGTTTTGTGCTCATTACAACCTGAAACCACTAAAATAAAATTGTTTATTCCTACTGTATTTGTCTGATTGTTATGAAAAGTAGCCTCGTAGCACAGCACAATAAAGCAACTTTTTCTTTCCCTTTTTCACCCCCTTTTCTTTGCTTCTCTTCATAATTGCCGAAGAATCTTTTAAAAAATCAGAAATACAGTTAAGATCCTTCTGGTTACATTAATTTATAACTTGAGAATAAAATGAATAGCAGTACTACTAAAATCTTTTGAACACATTGTGTTTATATGGACAGGCATCATCTACCAATTTTCTTCTATTCATTGCAATGTTCAGCAACATTTGTGACTCCTTAGTTACTGAAGCAGTCTACATCCAAATGCAACAAGTCTTGGACAATTTCCAGATTTGAGCAGACAAGTGACAAGTAACATCCACACCACATAAATGACAGGCAGTGACCATCTCAAAAGAGAGAATCTAACCATTGTCGCTAGACATTCAATGTCATTCCCACTGCAGGATACTTTTTTTTTATTCATTCACAGGATGAGGGCATTGCTGGCTCGGCATTTAATGCCATCCCTAATTGACCAGGCAGCAATTAAGACTCATCAACATTGCTGTGGGTCTGGAGTCACAAGTTGTCCAGACCAAATAAGGATGGCAATTTCCTCTGCTGAAGGACACTAGTGAACCACATGGGTTTTTCCCAACAATTGACAATGGATTCATGGTCATCATTAGACTCTTAATTCCAGATATTTACCGAATTCAAATTCCTCCATCTGCCATGACAGGATTCGAACCCAGGACCCCAGAACATTACCTGGGTCTCTGGTTTAACAGTCGAGTGGTAATACCACTAGACCATTGCCTCCCCTAGTTTATTTGTAGTCAGTGGCAAACCCCCACGAGCAACATCCTGGAGGTTTGCCACTGATTACACACAAACTGGACCGAGCATATAAATGCAGTGGCTACAAGAATGGGTTAAAGGTTAGAAATCTCGCAGCAAGTAACTCACATTCTGACTCCCTAAAAGTCTGTCCACCATCTACAAAGCACCAGTCATGAGTGCGATAACATATTCTCCATTTGCCTGGAAAAGCGTAGCTCCAACACTCAAGAAGGTTGGCACCATCCAGGACAAAGCAGTCTAGTTGATTGGCACCACATCTACAAACATCCACTCCCTCTACCACCGATGCACTGTAGCAGCAATGAGTACCATCTGCACGATACACTGCAGAAATTCACTGAAGCTCCTTAGGCAGCACTTTCCAAACTCACGACCGTTACCATCTAGAAAGACAAGATAAGATGAAAGATACATGGGAACACCATCAGCTCTAAGTTCCCTTCACAGCCACTCCCATCTTGACTTGGCAATATATCCCTCTTTCTCCAGTGATACTGGGTCAAATCCTGGAACTCCCCCCCTAATGACATTGCTGCCAATGTGCCAACAGCAAATGGACGAAAGTGGTTCAAAAAGGCAGCTCACGATCAGCTTCCCAATGGCAACTAAGACTGGTTAACAAATGCTTACAAGCAGAAAGTGAAGCATGGTGATCTGGTACAGGAAGTTATACAATGCTGGTCTGAGGTAATGGATGAGCTCCTACATGACTGCTGGGTTGATGGATAGGTCCATATTCAATACCATAATTCAAGTCAAACTCTGAGACTTAGGGCTCTGCTCCCCACCTCTGCAACTGGATCCTACATTTCCTGACCCGCAGACCGCAACAACAGCTCCTCCATGATAATCCTCAACACTGGTGGCCCTCAAGGCTGTATACTCAGCCCCTTACTATACTCTTTGAACACTCATGACTGTGTGGCCAAATTCAGCTCTAACTCCATTTATAAACTTGCTGATGATATCACTACAGTGGGTCAGATCTTTAACAATGACGAGACAGAATACAGGAACAGGATAGCGAGCTTAATGGCATGGTGCAAAGACAACAATCTCTCCCTCAATGTCAGCAAAATGAAGGAACTGGTCATTAATTTCAGGAAGCAGAGCTGAGAACATGCCCCTGTATCAATGATGTTTACTCCTAAGAATTTGAAGCTCTTGACCATCTCCACCAATGATACTAAGGTGGAGATGGTCAAGAGCTTCAAGTTCTTAGGAGTAAACATCAGCAATCTGTCGTGGTTCATCTACGTTGACTCTCTATTTCCTCAGAAGGGTAAGGAAATTACCATGTCTACAATGACTCTCATCAATTTTTATACATGCACCATAGGAAGCAACCAATCTGGATGCATCACAGCTTGTTTTGGCAACTGCGCTGTGCAAGAAATTACAGAGAGTTGTGAATGCAACACAGTCCATCACAGAAACCAGCCTTCCTTCCACTGACTCCATCTATACTTCTTGCTGCCTCGGGAATGCAGCCAACATAATCAAAGACCCCTCCCACCCTGTTATATTGAGCAGAAAATACGAAAGTTTGAAAACATACCAACAGGTTCAAAAACAGCTTCTTCCCCACTGTTATCAGACTTTTGAACAGACCTCATGTATTCAAGTTGACCTTTCTCTTACATCTTTTCTGTAGCTGATATACTTACAAAAGATGTGATTTGCCTGGATAACACGCAAAATAATACTTTCACTGTATCCTCGGTACAAATGACAATAATAAATAAATCAAATCAAATCAAAAGGTGGCCCAGCCAGCAACATTTATCTGTAAATGAACTGCAAGAAAACAAATGGTTTGTGCATCATTCAGTATCTGACTTAGCTATGTAGGCCAGACAAACTCTGCTTTTCATGCCAGATGTGTGCTGACTTGATCTCAACTCCTGCGCTGCAACATCCC